TGAATAACTTGCAGTCTAGAATAATTACTGTTGCATATATCATTGACTTCAGTGTCAGAGCCTCTCAGTCCTTGGGGCTGAAGAGGCTGGAAGGCAAGCAGAAGAATGAAGCTTTTGAAAATACAAAGGAACTTGCAGTCTAGAATAATTACTGTTGCATATATCATTGAGTTCAGTGTCAGAACCCCTCTCAGTCCTTGGGGCTGAAGAGGCTGGAAGGCAAGCAGAAGAATGAAGCTTTTGAAAATACACAGGCTAAAAAAAAAAAAAAAGTATCAGAGGCAACCTAAGATGGAGAAACACAGCAGTTCTCCTGCTGGTGGATTAAAATGAGCGGGTATGGGCCCAGAGCAGCAGCCAGCTGATGTGAGAGGAAGGGATGAGAATGGAAACTTTAACAGATGTAGGAAAGAGAAGAGTTTCTCCTTAGTGACTGTTGCTAATACGTACTAGTCCATGCTGGATCCTGGTTGGGGTAAAGTGCCAGATTTTGCAAGGAAAGAGACTCTGTGATGGAAAAGGAGAGTGCTTGTGGCTCGAACCCTGTTTTTCTGTTACCTTCTGGTCACAACGTCCCCCCGCATCAGCAGGGAGCGAGTAGGTGCTGGCTGGGCTCCGTGGGGTTGGTTTTGGGCGGCTGAGCTGCAGCGGGAGCTGTAATAAGCCAGCTGCACAGGCACGCTCGCTGGAGCACAGCCTGCATTCATCTGAGCTGCTAAATTTAGGTCTCTTCCAGCAAAAGAGCATGTGCAAAGAGGCACAGGGATGAGATATAACTGTCGTATGAGCTGGAAAAAGGAACCTGAGAGGGTTGATTTACCCGTTATAATAACAACTGTACTTTTGGCATCAGAGGAGACCAAAGTCCCTGAGGATATACACAGGGAAGATAAGATATGTATTATTGCAAGATTGATTACCCTCTGTCAGCCTCACGATCTTGTCCAAGACTGACCCTGCCAGTGTCACATCGGGGTAAAACTGAAATGCTTTTGCCTGAAGTGCTTTGACTTTAGGGTGGTGCCATTTATTGGGGAAAAAATAATCATCTTTATGAAAATAATCGTTCTTACAGAAATCATGGCTGTTTGTGAGGCAAAGTTCTCAGACAAGGGGGAAGGATGCTGAAGACCTGGAGAGGTGCTGTGGGAGCAAAGGAGACACAATACAGGTAAGAAATCCCCACAGACAGCACGGGGGGAGGAACAGGACTTCTTGCTCAAGGCTGTCGCTGACTGTGTACTCCACGCCGTCGTCCCCCTCGCTCCCCCCTTGGTACACCCTTTTGTACACCAGCGTAGAGACCTCAGGCGCTGGCTGCAGTCAGAGAGACCCTCTGTTCCCAGGGGTTTTACAGGCAACAGCTGGGGAGCACAGAAGCCATCCCAGCCTGCCAGGCCACTTTTACTTGCAAGGGCCTCTGTGTAACCCCAAAAGTGCATTTCCTAAATGCCCATGAGGCTGCCTGGGGAGTCTCTCCCTGCTCTGGATTCCACCCAGCTGTTTACGGAAGGGCAGAGGAGGGGAGCAGGGCTGGATTGCCTTGCTGTCAGAAAAGCTGTTTTGCGCCGGGGAGTCCCTCCCTGCTCCAGGGCGGGGACTTTGCCATCCAGGACAAGGCGAGCAAAGCTCTCCCCATTCCTGCCAAGGCACCCCCTTGGGACAGCAGGTGAGTGCCGCGCTAACTGGGAGGGGGGTCCCCTTTGGCATGGGGAAGGGGTTGCACGGCTAGAGGTGCCTGGGAAGATGCCAAGCACTGTCCCCCGCTCGCCAGACCGCAGCGGCTGGTAGTGTGGCTGTGCGGGAGCGGGATGGCCCTTGGCTGGGTGGGTGCCTCGTCGGGAGCCGGGACGCCAAGGCATTGGGGTGCTGGGGCAGCCCTGGAGGGCGCAGGCCTGGGGTGAGGGAGGACGGGGAGGTGGGTTGTGGGAAGGAGGAAGATGGCTGACTCTTCCCAGGCGCAGGGAGTGCGGGTTTTGCTTCCTACGTCTGCCGTGCCCCGTGGCCAAGCTGGCACGTCCTCCGCGCTGGGTGCTGGAGCGTGGAGGGCACGGCGGGGGGTCGGGTGGGCACGCAGGCTGAAGCGAGGAGTACGCGCCTCTGCTAATTCAGTATTTTTATTCCTTTTGAGGGCAGTAGCCAGACAAATGTCATCGTGTGGGAGGTGCTGGGATATTTCAGCTGGCTGGGGACTCACCAGCAGAAGGGAGATCCTTTCCTGAGCTGCAAATCGGGCTGGGATCAGGGTCAGTCACCTTGCTAGGAGCCCCAGACCTGTACCAGCGCTCTGTGTCTCCCGAAGCACAGCCAGCTGTGGAGGGAGCAGGCTGTATCCAGCGCACTGGAAACAGCTGGCGGTAGCAGAGCCATGGAAAAGCTGATCTGGCGCAGGGTGCGGGTTTGTGTTCGAGTGAACGTGCACCGAATGAAAGAACTAGTCAAACTAGTCCAGTGTTTGCTTTGCAAGGGGATGGGTTGCAAAACACTGGTCTTCCACTCCAGATCCTGGATGTGGGACTGGCAACATGTGTACGAGCTCAAACTTGGGGGGAAAAAACCTGTTTCTATCCTGTTAAGCTGTTGGGAGCTTTGCTTGCCAGGAGCTGCGGGCACTCTGTGCACAGTCAGGGAAACTTGATTCGGAGCAAGTCTGAATTTGAATTGGCCAGTACACACAACAGTTTCAGCTGTTTTCTGATAAATGAAGTTTATTCTGGATTCAGCTTTTAGAGGACATTGATGTGGGCTTATAGTGGCCTGATTAACTGATAAAGCCTGGCAGGAAATGGTCATCCATGGAAAAAAAATTAAATAATGGGAGGGATGCCTCATACACCTGCACTCTGTCATCTGGCCGCAGTACTTTGAGCCTGTTCTAAGCCAGGCCTTTATTCTGGGGTGAAGCAAATAACATCAGGACGGGGATTAGCCAGGGCACCCTTAGCACTTGTTAGCTGACTCTTTGCATGCAGAGTTTAATAATTCAAAACACAGAGTTGTTGCTCCTATCCTGAAGCTGTTTTTCCCCATTTGAGCTGTAGGCCAAGACTTGTGTTAAGCTGCAGAGCGCTGGCAAATCTGAGCAATCCCTTTCCCTCCGTAGTAGCAAAGGGAGTGGCTAGGAGAGTTTTATTCATGTAATGCCCCAGCCTGAGCAGTTCATGGAGACACCTTCACCTCTGAAAGGGAGCAGGGTGATTACAGGGGCAGGGCCCATTGCTGGAGAACCTGGCTGAACTGCCGAGCACTTTCCACCTGTAACTTCAGCAGCTCGGTTCTTGTGGCACCGCACACGGAAATATACTGGGGCCAAACCAGCACTTGCAGATTGCACAGTGGGGTTAGCACCGCTGCCCTTCGCAGTGCGCTACTCTTTATATTCCTAGTGACGTTTAAGATGGATGAAGAAATCGGAATCTTACAGTCAATATTCAATGTGGTATTTCTGTTATAATTTGATATTGCAGGAACATTTGCCCTGAACCCAGTGCACACAGCCTTTCCTCGTGTTTTTGTTCCTTTCTGCCAGCTCATTTGCACTCGGTATTTTTCTGCCTCCCACCTCCTTTTCCTTGTTTAGTGACCTTTCTTTTGCCCTCTCATCTACTTGCTAAACCAGCCTGTCTAATATTCCTGCTTCTGTGTACAAACCAAAGGAATGGTAAAACTGCATCAGAAAAAACATCTATGAAATTCGAAGCCATTATTTAGTGTCTGGCTAAAGCAAAATAAAAGTTGGCTTTATACTTCTAGAAAAGATTAAAGAACAAAGGTGACTTTTCTGAGGTCTAGGTCATAATTTGACCACTGAACTACATCATCATATGAAAGAAAGCAAACTCCACACTAAGAATTTTCCATATGTTTCCTGATTGCCCAGGATGCAATAACGTACAGATGACCTGGAGAGCACTCAGGAGTGCACACTGAGAGTTAACTTGCCCGAACAGCATCCTCCGATGATATTCTGGATTTGTAAGGGTCATGTGAAGCATGAGCAAAGACACTCCCGTTCTTGCACAACTGTCTGGGCTCATTGATAGCAGCTATTAAGCACCATGAGCAGGATTAGGGAGAGATGTCGTCAGCTGCTGGCATCACTGCTTCTACTTAAGGGCTTAATGCAAGAACCTTGGCTCATGCTGTGTTGAACTTGAGCTGCAGGGAATTGAACCTTGTCCTAGAACTTGACATCCTGTCCACCTACCAGGGATACAGGAAAATACGTTGGTTGTGTTCACGTATAGGCCCTATGCATGAAAACAAAATTATAAGCAGAAAAAAATAAACCCTGAGGAGATGGCAAATAAGCTTTTTTTTTTTTTTGAGGGCTTTAACAGTCAGTTAAAACTGCCGTCCTACAAGGAATTACACATTGCACCAAATGGAGATGTTGAATACAGCAGATTTTAAGAGGGAAAATAATCCTCCTGTCCCAGTCTTCCGGTGAGGTTATCCTTAGCATGCTCATCCACATCTTGATGTTGTCTCTGCCTCCCAGGGAGGCTCCCTGTGAAGGCTGTTAGGACTGTGCAGGCACCCTCAGGCTTTCACCTGGCAAGGTCAAAGCCACGTGTTTTGAAGGGCATGGGAATCAAGACTATTTTCTTTGCTCCCAGGGCAACGTTGTCTGCTTCTCCTCGTAGCCTCAGCCAGGCTGTCAAGCTAGCCATAGAAAAGAAATTTCTTAAATTACTAGTGCTAATCCTCTACTTGTGCACCACATCCCTCTTTCAAACAGGGCGAACGCCCTTGCCCTACGCTGTTGCGAGCCAGCCTTCGTTCGTTCAGTCCGACACAGGACTGGAATCTCCAGGACGCTGCTATGGGCGTTCAGTAGGGCTGTTCAAAAGCTGCTTTGAGGCCTCAGAGAAATTAGATGGTTGCTTAACCAGCCCCAATAATTGGCAAGGGTAGGTATATTCTATTAATTATTTGCTAGAAAACTAACACTTCCTCTGTTTTTTATTACAGTTGTCTAACTGCCTGGGGACTCAGACAATAGCAGATTGACTAAAGACAAGAGCGATGGTGAGTGTGCATGTTTTCTGTACCATGCTGTGCCAAGCATTTGATCAGATAAACGTGGGGAGTGTATCTCAGATAAGGACGCAGCAGGAAGAGCACTGTCACTGTCTGCCCCTTTATGCGGGGTGAGTTTATCGCTTCTCTCTGCATCCCCATGCTAGAGGTGAATGACTCACGTGTACGGGCTTTTCCATTTGGGGAGCTAATGGAAAATCCGGTCAGATATTAGTTCAAAGAACATGAATTTTTCCAGATAAACTTCCTGGGCATATTATTCTTTTCAGGTTCAACCTGCAAGGTAGCCATCTATATGGTAGTTATCCCTGTGCCTAACCTACGTGAACGTTAAGCAGTGTTTTGCTGATGATTTTCATGGGAACAGGAAATTGGAAACCAGATACTCCATGGGCAGCTATACGATGATATTTTCTTCTTTTAGTTATGTCCCTGTGGCTTACATCTTACGTGGCTGGGAAGTCCCTCTAGAATAAACTGTTTCTCTTTAGGGTAGGATGGAAGCCTGATATAAAATCACTCACGTTTGTGGGTGGACTTTACTTGCTTTTTTTTTTTAATTTTTTAATTTTTTTTTTTAATTCACCTCTACTGTATGTATGCATCACTTTGAGTCTGTCTTTCACAACTCCTCTTCTGTGGGTTTAGGCAACAATCAAGGGGGTCTCAAGTTTCAGTGCTGAGCAAGAAGCACAGGCACTAAGGAAGGCTATGAAGGGATTTGGTAAGTTGGTCTCCCTCCACTGTTAAACCCTCTTCCCCCCCCCCCACCCCGAGCATTGGGAATGTTTTGTCTGGCGGTTTGTTAGAGGGGAAGTCTAGCCATTTGCATTGTCCTCCTGCCCTGTGAGGGCACTGAAAGGAATCAAGCAACTCGATCAGGCTGAGGCTTGAACCCAACTTGAAATCCAAGCCTTGGCCACAAAAACATCCTTGGTCAGGCCCTGTTTTCTCTCTCCTGTGGTGTGGTATTCCCATGCCGCTGGCTGAGTTGAGGCACTTCTGTACGTTGATCTAGTCCCCAGTGCTGTTGAGAACCAGGTTGTGCAAGGAGCAGAAGATTGCTAATGGCACACTCTGGACAAGACCAGAGCATGCTTCTGGTGCTTGTGCAAGCAGCCTGACTGATTTCCATTGGTTTCTTCCAGGCACGGATGAAGATGCCATCATCGAGATTTTGACCAAACTAAATGTTTCCCAACGTCAGCAAGTTCTGATCACCTATAAAAGCAGTATTGGCAGGGTAAGTGGTCTTCAGAGATTTAGTGACTGTGGCTTTACCAGGAGATGCAGACAATTTTGGGGTTCTATCACTTGGGTGACATGTGAACAACATCCTAGTCTCCACAACAGTAAGGTTAGCACAAGCTTTCCCTCGCCAAATTTGTTTTGGTCTTGTTCACTTCTGAGCAATGGTTCATCCAAGGAGAGTTGGAGCACGAAGAAAAGTGGTGAATGAGTTCTTTCTGTTCTCAAATGCTCTATCTTCTCCCAACGCCTTTCTTCTCTCTTTGTCTTCTAGGATTTGATTGATGACTTGAAGTCTGAGCTGAGTGGGAATTTTGAAAGGGTGATCATTGGCATGATGACTTCTACCACCATGTACGACGTGCATGAACTGAGGAGGGCTTTGAAGGTTCGGAAATCTTCCTTTTATGTTGCTTAGGTTCTGGTCAATTTAGTATGATACGGCATAATTATAAATTTATTATTTTTTTTATTATTAACTAATAATTTAAAAAATCCTAATTGCACATCAAAACAGTCCTCATTATAATCTTGGATCTTGTCTTTGCAATTCCCTAGGGTGCAGGAACAGATGAAGGTTGCCTGATTGAAATTCTGGCTTCTCGCACAAACGAAGAGATTCGGCGCATTAATGAGAACTACAAACTTCGTATGTAGTGCAAGCTGCAAGCCATACCATACTGAAAAGTGACTTATGTGTATGCATGGACATGTGAAGAGGAAGGAGAGGGGTCTGTTAGCCTTTAAATGTGACACATCAGCCAATACAACTATTGCCGTTTGTCCAGAGAGAACCTCTGAGTTAGAGGTGTCAGGACTGCTAACAGCCTCAAGGGCTAGAATTTCACCCAGAAATTGAATCAGTCTAAACAAAATGGGATGGGGTGGTTATGTCTATCAGTTGGATGTTTGTCCACGTGTGGATCTGTTGCCAGTTTTATACTGGCTCTGCTTCTTAATTTTGCCCTGTATCACTAAATGTGATGGCTGGGCTGCTCTGATGATGTTTAGAGCCCTGAGCACAGTTCTGTACTTACCCAGCTAATGGCTGGCAAATGTGGACAAACAGTCCTAACAGATGTTGTGTGTGCTCTTGCTAGAATACGGCCGTACCCTTGAGGAGGACATTGTCTCTGACACATCTTCCATGTTTCGAAGAGTCCTCGTGTCCCTCGCAACGGTAAGTCCAGGCTAAGGGAAATGGGGGTGAGTCCTCCTGTTGCTGATGGACACGCCTCTCACTTCAGCAATGAGGTGTTTCAGGCTGGCTTTTGTTTCGCTTACCTTGCGTTTCACCTCGCTCGCATTTCACACCCGGCTTCTGCAGGGAGAGGAGTCTGGCTCGGGGTATGCGTTAATGCCGTGTGCTCTTTTTAAAATGGCCCAGTTAAAGTGGATTATTACAAAAGGAAGTACAAATCCCATCTGAGCCATATTTTGCTGTATTTGTGAGCTACTATTCAATTTGAAGGATCCCATTATGCATCTCCAGTAACTTGTTTTGAATGGGGAATTTGCTGGGCTTGCACTAGTTGCTCTGATGAAAAGCGTTTTTCATCCTTGTATCACTGCAGGGAAACAGAGATGAGGGAATGTATGTGGATGATGCCCTTGCTCAGCAAGATGCTCAGGTGCGTAGCAGGTTTTTTTCCTTTGCAAGAATTGTCCACTCTTGTACCTGTGATGCGTGGTGAATCCCTGCTTTCTCTAGACCTCATTTTTTTCCAAGGTAGAACAGTAAGCCTGAAGCTATGCTAGACAGCAGCACCCTAGGTGGAGGCCTGGGCTCTATACTCAGTTTTGACCCTTAAAGAAGCCTCTTTGCTGTTCTGACTCAGCCGGTGACATGGGGGTAACGGTTCTTTGCAACTCTGTGGTGAGGGGTCTCTAGACAGGCTGGGCATTTGGGAGGGGAGAAGACATTTCAGTTGAGAGTTGCTGTGCTTGGTTAGTATTTGTTGGAAAATATCTGTGATCTAGACAAGCCACAGGCCAGCAGTGCTCAAGCACCAAGAAAGTAAAAATCTCATGTGTAGGTACACCTAGTCTTCTCAATTAGCCTTACTTTGTCTATTGTAATGTCTTCAAGTGCCTGTATGAAGCTGGGGAGAAGAAATGGGGAACAGATGAGGTACAATTTATGGCCATCCTCTGTACACGGAACAGATGCCACCTACTAAGAGGTAGGACCATCTGTGATGCCCTGGACTTTTTTTCCTTGTTTGACGATACTTTTGTAGGAGCTTTGTACTTGTTCATTAACTAATTGCAAACTCTTCCTGAGACAGCAGGTATCCTAGAGCCCAGTCACATTATATTCTTTAAAACCATTTTATTCCCCCCTGAGACAAAAAAGGGACTTGAGAAAAACATCAGTACAACTTGTAAATTGGAGACAATGAAGTGTGACTCCTATTGGGGCAGGGATGGAAAGAAGCTAAACATTTAAACTGCCATCATTAACCAGCGGTTCTTGAAAGTGCTAGCAGCAGTGGTGGGCCAATTAGCAAGACAGTTGATAATTAAAATGAATTCTTTCTGTGGGGGAGCCCTGATTTAGCTTACAATGTTCATGCAGAGTATGAGGAGTTTGATCTTGCAAAGCGATCCTTGGTGGTTTACACACTGTATGCCCTGAAGCATCTCACTCGCTCTTTTTATCGCTGACTCTTCCTCCTAGTTTTTGATGCGTACAGAGGAATTGCTAATAAGGACATAGCAGACAGCATTAAATCTGAGATGTCGGGAGACCTCGAAGATGCTTTGTTAGCTGTGGGTGAGTTCCCCGCTTTTAAACTTTGTAGACAAAGTAATTAAATAATTAGAGATACCGTATCTTGCCCCGGCTGGCTGTTTACACAGCTTCAGGAGGCAGATACTGTTTGTCTTTTTCGCAAGCCACAGTGTTATACTCTTTGCAGATACAATGGGACAAGAAAGCTCTGCACTTTATGATAGTTTGCTTTCCCAAGTGACGCTTTGGGAGCTGACATTTGCTCTCAGGAGGTATTAAAGCCTTAAAGAAAATATTACTGGGCACAGAGACATCAATTTACAGCAGGTTACTGGCTGTGGATGTCTGCTTTGTACCCGCTGTTCGTTGGCCCTGGACTGCATCGTTACGGAATAAACACCTCCACCGAGAAAGTGCTGTAGAGGTTTGGAAGACCTTCTCCTTCGGTTTTTATTGACCTTAATTCTCTTGTTCTCGTCTCCCTTACAGTAAAGTGTGTGCGAAACAAACCTGCGTATTTTGCTGAAAGACTGTATAAATCCATGAAGGTAAAGAGCTTTTGGTGTGAGATTGCTTTTTTTGGTTTTTTTTTCCCCTTGCCTCTCCATACTCGCGTCAGTAGCGTGACAGCAATTATTAGGTAAAGAGAAACTCTGCTATTAACTGAGGGGGAAAAAAAAGTCTGAGCTTTTATATGGCTCTGCTTTCCCTCAGGAAGCTCAGAGCAATATTCTTGCTGCTAGTGGATCACTCCACTAATGCAAACCTGCTCTGATGAAGGGCGCAGATCCCACAGAAGACCAAGTGCTAAAACCTTTGTGTCCCTCACTGATTTATCCAGAAGGCTTTGTTGTTGTACACGGTTGGTTTATTTCTTTAGGGCTTGGGAACAGATGACAGCACGCTGATCCGAGTGATGGTGTCCCGCTCCGAAATAGATATGCTGGATATCAGAAGGGAATTCCTGACCATGTATGGGAAATCGCTCTACTCCTTCATTAAGGTGAGCTTTTCAGTGTTAGAAACAATGAGCTGGATTTGTTAAGCAGCTCAAAGGAGACAGATCCGCACTTGACACCTATTGGGTATTTTAGAGGAGCTGAAATTAAGGAGGCTTTACATCTGTGTACTGAAAATGGTCCTGAATGTTCTCAGTTCTTAAATTGTCAAAGAGGATATGAGCCTTACAACACAGTGTATGCACTGGAAAGAATCCAGCTTCGTACAGAGCTGTAAAACTAATTGTGTTCCTTTTTTCTTTCTAGGGAGACTGCTCAGGAGACTATAGGAAAGTTCTGCTCAGACTCTGTGGTGGGGAGGATTAAAGGAGGCCTGGTGTACTGCCTGGGTGATGGGAAGCAGTTGATCATAAGGAATCCTTTCTTTTTCATTTTTCCCAAATACCTTATTAATTGCTAAGAGCATCGACTTAGGTTAGTTAATGCTCTGGTTAGATAATGGCTGTTCCGGTCGACCCTTTTGATACGCTTTTACGCTTGGAACACCCATTTGTCTACTAACTGGGTGAGCAAAGCCCGTCTTAAACAGAATGCTGTAACCAAATATCTAAAAGCTAAATCGTTTCCTGACAAGCAGTCCCTTTGCCATTGCATTCACCAGCCAAACTTATCAACTGAAGCAAACTGGGATGCAGAATAGGAGAGGCTGCGCAGGGAAAAACTAACCTCATCGATACATGGAGGATGCAGAATGCAGGCTGGCTTCAGTTGTTGCAAGATAATTAAAACACAGAGCAATCAATCATCTAAAATACGAATACGTTTAGGTCTTAACTTGCCCTCTGTTAGTGTGGAGCATTAACAGCCTTGCTGCACTTTATGTATATGTTGCCTATAGAGCTGTAGGTAGGGAAGATGTCACTGGTGACATCAGAAAAAGCCTCTTGCTGCCCTGGTTACAGGTCAGCCCTGTGTTCTTGGTCTGTTTTCCTTGACTTGTGGGAGTATAAATCATCAGGGTTCTATTACAAACCCTTCCTCTGGGTAAAGTGATGTCATTAGAACGGTGCCTTTTAAGGAATGACCCATCCCCAAAACCACACCTCATCAGCACTCCCTGATGCCTTAGACTGGGGTGCCTCGTACCGGGGCACCTCACCCAATCTCCCCAGCGCCGGCAGGTCAGAGCCCCGTCTCTCACTACCGTTCCAGGGTCCGGATTTTGTGCATTTTGTCCGGACTTCCACATCGACCGCTGGAAGGGACTTTTCCCCAGACCCTACACAACTGCCTGTTAAGCTGAGTGTTGTTTTCACTATAAAAATGTGGTTCTTATTTGGTTTAGCAATTTTTTTTTTTTAAAGCTGTTGGTATATAATCCTGCTTCGAAGGCATCAGGCTGAGGTCAGAATTTGAAGGCACAAATTCCGATATGGCCTACACCCAATTCTGTCACTCATTTTTTTCTAAATTATGCTACTGTTGGCTTGAATAGGAGATACTTCTGTGGCCTCAAATAAAATAATTTTCTTTCTTGCTCTCTGTGCTGTAATTGGAGAAACATTCCTTAGTTTTGGTGGGAGAGGAGGCAGAACTTTTTCCAGTTCTACTGAAGCCTTCTGCTCAGTGGAAGAAAAATTCTCTTACCCGGAACAACAGGCTAACAGATGCGCTCAGGCTTGGTTTTGTGTTTAAATGCCTTGTGTTATGTTGCTGACTTTTTAAAAATGAATAAAGAATTTTACGATCGTGTATTCTGGGTGAGGTAATGGGGAAATAACTGCACCCTTGGGTTTTTTCACCACCTTCTGTGCTCCGCAGGTGCTTTTTCTCCTATACAGGGACCTGCGTACACCAGCTGAGTGGGGAGAGGCTGTAGGGGG